ATTGAAGCCATATAACACAATAATGCATAGAAGAGGGATTAAAAATTATCTAACAATTGATCTTACTGGAAGGGCTATACACTTAACTTTAGTTGCCCCTTGAACCCAGGCTACGGATTCAGCAGGAGGCTCAAGCATAATAACAGAAAGAGAAGTCCAAAAGAGCCCAAGGTAAATAGCAAATGCTGAAGTTAAATGTGCTGCAATACATGTCTTTGTCCAGTGGACGGAGTTCCATGTCTCCGTCCACTGGATGGAGACATTTCTCCATGTCTCCGTCCAGTGGACGGAGTTATGGAAGTGGACGGAGACATGGAGAAATGTCTTCATCCAGTGGACGAAGTTCCATGTCTTATAGTCAAGGATCATTTCTGGAGAATACAAGTAATTATTTCCATAACTCCGTCTAGTGGATGGAGACATGGAGAAATGTCTCCATCTAACGGATGGAGTTCCATGTCTTATAGTCAATGATCATTTCTGGAGAATACAAGTAATTATTTCCATAATGCATTGAATTGAGCCATAGGAATTGTAGGCACGACTTTTTTCATTAAGCATTGAACCAAAAACTAACACAGTAAGGTATGTATCTTCTTGGCTTAGATTGCGATAGCTTTAAGCTGAGCTTATCATCGACTATTTCATGCAAACTCTAGCTAAATCACAACATCTGTAGAGCATCATTATGGAATCAAATGCACTTCAAAATATAAAGCAACAAATACTCAGGTTGCATTTAGTGGCAAACAATTGGGGAATCTAAATTGGATATGTGAATAATATATTCAAAATTCAACTGAAATATTTTCTAAATAGAATAAGCAAAGTCCTATTTCTATATAGTTAAACATAGCATAAAGAAAGAATTCTCACTGCAAAGAGAAGTTAAAAATCATGAACTCAATCACAGGCTCGAGACCATAGTAAGCTGCATCAACACCAATTCCAGTAAATCCGGCCTGCAACATATAAACTGGTTGAGTATGAAAAATATTATAAACACAACTAAAACAATTCATAAGTAAAAGGCGAAGATAAACCTCAGTAATAGGAGTATCCACAATTCTGTCGGGACCATACTTCTCCAAAAGCCCTTTGGAAATCTAAAGTAACATAGAGTAAATCAAAAACTAATTACTGAAAGAATAAAAATAAGATTATGAAAAGTCTTTGTAAATCAAAAACTGATTACTGAAACAATGTGAGTAAGTGCATTTTCTTCCCAATTTACCTCTTCACCCATTAAAAAGACTTTAGGGCCAGCAAACATTTCTTCATCAAGTACCGAATTTAAAGCCTCAGGTACTGTCATCTGCAAGTTAGAGCAAAAAATCCTCACGTACTATCATCTGCAAGTTGGAGCGAAAAATCTATTTTTCGAGCTAATGGAAGGAAGGAGAAGCAATGGGAGGTTGTATGGGAAAATGGAGGAGGAGTGAGTAGTTGCGTGATATAATGGAGAAAGAGGAATGGCAGTGCGAGAATTTTTTGGCGAATTTCAGGGATTTTTTTTTTTAAATGGGAATTTTTGACGACGACGGGAAATTGCGACATGTGTAAGATTTGCTTAGCCTCTTTTAATATATAGTGAAGTTATACTTTGTAAAACCCTGTATCATGAGGGTTAGTACATTATTTTAATTAGACTTGATGATTGAATAAAATTACAGTTTCTCTTCAATTTCTTCTTTCTCCTCTCTCGTATTCTCTCTCTCTTTTCTGTCTTCTATTCTCCCATTTCTCTCATCTTCTTACGTATAATTCCCTTATTTAACCGTTTTGTTATTTTGTACGAGTATCTTTTTTCTCCATCTTCTAGATGAAAAGGAAATTCAACATAAGTGTTTAATGGGATTGCACCTTTATATCTTGAAAGCAAGTGAAATGAAACGAAGATAATTTAAGAAGAGAAAAAAAATTGAACCTTACCAATCTTGGAATTTTTGAAGGGTCAATAGACATGGCCTAACATTAGTTTCTCTGCAAATGCCAAACATAACAAATAACAATCAATCAGTAATTCAAGAAAATAGATGGAAGTTTCATTTGTTATTTACCAAGATCATGAGTTGCATGAATGACTGCTCCCTTGTTCAAACATATGTTAATGGTAAGATAGAAGCTAAATTATTTCATGTGTTGTCCGGCCTAGTTCAAAATGCAGATTTTATAAACAACCGAACATGAAATTCTTCATCATAAATTGAGTATCAGCAACTCTCCATAATAGAAAGACGGCAACATTCGTTATAATCAAACCTATAACAACTCCATCAGTTGTAAGCCATTGAAACCCGATTTCCTAAAAAATAAATGGACAAATAGTGTTGTTGTGTGTAAACATCTTCAAGCTCGAAGGCATACATATATAGAATATTCAAACAATTTCCGTGGAGAAACCTCCATAAAAAGTCATGAGCATTGTGTTGTAGGAGTGGAAAGGACCTTAATAGAGAGAAAGGAAGAGATAATCAATGAAGTACTATTGTTATGCACTTTTATTTGAATATAGCAAAGTGGAGGATAGTAAACCAAAAGGCTAGAGACTTTTGTGTCAAATTGTATTGTACTCCACAAAGGCTGCTGAAAATTTAACCGAGCCACCAAAGTTCTTTCCGATGAATACCTTAAATTAGTATTCAATATATTCGATTGTATTCTTCTTTGTTCATTTTATGATGGTGTATAAATTTGAAAGTGTCCATATAATTGCTCTAAAGTACCCCAATCAACTTGTGTGTGTGTGTGTGTGTGAGAGAGAGAGAGAGAGAGAGAGAGAGAGAGAGAGAGTTTGACAACCATTTTGGTGAAAAAAGAGTTGTGAATAGTGATTTTTAGAAGAATGTGAGGTTAAAAAGTGGAAAAAGTTTTTGGTATACGTACAGAATATTTTATTGTTTTAATGTGTGATTGAAAATAATCTTTTAGTAAACCATAAAATAAATTAAAGAGTGTCAAACACGCTATTAATTACTCTTTGAATCTCTAATTCATATGTACCACTAGTAGATAAATTGAACTTCGATTCATTTTGCTCTCCCAATTAGGGTTGGACATGGTTCGATTCGGTTCTAACGAAATAGAAAGTGAATTTTCGGGTATTTAGTAGGTAGAACCATCGAATCCAAATCTAATTATGAAATCGTTCGGATTCTGTTCCGTCCGATTTCCGGGTTTCGTACAATAATTAAATTTTTTAATATTTACAATAACGCTACATTTATTCAACTAATGACATGTTCAATTTTAACTCTTACAAAATAACGTAGTACAGTCCCATGATATTTTTTGAGATTCTATTTGTTGAGTTCTTCATATATTTGGCCATAAAAATTACATGAAAATGAAGAAATCGATCTTACAATAATAAAGAATGGCTTCCAATTCTATTTTACAGAACGGCAGAAACGACACTACGGTAGAATAAACAATTTGGATAAAATTTAGGTCAATTTGATTAATTGGGCTGGAAATTAGAAATAAGAAAATTATATTTTGAGTTTGTGCTAAATTAAGTAATTAGCAAATTTATTTAGAAAAAATAAAATAATTTGACTTATATAAGATAAAGAAAATTAGGAATATTCGTTTCTTATTCGATTCTTCGTTTAGAATCGAGACTTAACCGAATCCATCAGCTCTCGATTCAGATACCCGTTTGAATATTTAATCTAAGGAGAACCGTTTGGTTCGATTTAGTTCTATTCGGCTCCGATTTTGTTCGATTCTAGAATTTTGTTCAGCCCTACTCCCAACTAGTGAATCATATAAATTTATTTTCTTCAATAAAGTCTATTTCATTTGTAGCACTAGCAGATAAATTGCTATCGTGCTGAATAGTTAGGTCCAAAATTTACAATTGATGGAGCTCATAATCCGATTTGTTAGTTAGTTAACCTTCTTTCCACGACATTTTCATACTTTCATGCAGTGTGGGAAATGAACAGAGACAATTTCTATTTTCTAAATCAATTTCATTGACTTGGGCTAATCTTTTTCGTCTTTTTGACTGGGGAAGGTTCTAAACTTTTAATTGGTCCTCATCTCTGACATTTGAAGAAGTTATTATATAAAATGGTAATTGCATATTTATAATTTTATTAATTAATGGATGAAGTAAGAAATGAAAATTTACATTCATAAAATTATTATTTAAATAGTAAGCATTATTACAGATTTATTAATTATTAGATGAAGTAAGAAATAAAAAATATGTGTTCACAAGCGTAAGTGACGCTGCTTCGGACAAATTCAAAGAAGAATATACAAGTGATTGGAGAAGCTTTTGTGTAAATTTACAATTTTTTTTGTTAATTGTGAAAATGAATGTGTTCAAACTAGTAGATTTTATTTTTATTTGGAATTAGCATTATAAGACCATGTTTGGTAATCGTTCTTTCAAAACCTCTTTTTTTTTTCATACTCATTTTCAACCATACATTTTCACAACAAAATGTTATTCATGTAAAATTCAAATATTTTCCTTACTTTTTAAATATACATTATTTAAAAAATTACTAT